TTACTTAACTTTTTAACGAATGATTTTGAAATTTTTTGTTTGTTTTCAATAAATTTCAATTTCGATAACGTTGCTGTAACAGTGGCAATGGCCTAGTGAGCAGAGCACTTTCGTGCCATTCCAGAGATCTGAGTTCAATCCTCGGCAACGATTTTTTTTTTATACTTTTTTTTTAAGTTTTATTTTGCTTAAAAAATTCATATTTTTTATTTTATTTAACGTTTGGAAACTTTTTTGATTCATCTTTTTGCTTTCACTTTCAGTTTATAAAATTTTTAGTTTTTCTTGTTTTTCATTTGGTTAGTTTTTAGAAAACTTATTGCTAAGCGATAAATATAATAACACTATTAGCACACCTGTCAGTTAGTTATTCGAAATACAGAAAAGGGCTTTCAAGATAGTTGCCGAAATATAAAGACTTTTGTCTCTGGAAAGACTGAGGTGAGTTGAAAGACAGATGCCAGAATTGGCCTGTTATTGGTCTTGTTTGCCTTTTAGAAAATTAGATCAAAAAATTCAATACAGATAGTTTATAAAATTAAATAAGAAGAAATAAATAAATAAAACAGGAAAAAGAAAATTTTCCCGCCCTAGGACTCGAACTCGGATCTCTCGAATGGCACGCCAGTGCTCTGCTCACTCAGTCATTGCGTCTGTTGAGCCAGTGCGCGCAAAATGATATAAATACTTCTTTTTATATTTTATTTTAAACCGAACGAAAAAAGTGAGTGATGTCATAAAAATGAAGGGCCGCAACTGGGGCCATACTTAAATTTTTTATTTCATAATTTTTAACTCTGAGAGGAAACATTAATTAACAGATTTAACGATCATTAGTTAAGTGCCCGTTAGAGCTAATTTAAGAAAAGTTTCTGAGTGCGGCTGTAAATCTTGTAAGTAGAACTGATTTTGAATTATTTTGTTAATAAATCTTTACAAGCTTTGTTTTTTGCAGCAGCTGCTTCAAAAAATATTTATTCTTTGGACACAGATGACTTAACCCTTATTTAAGCGCATAAAGAAATTGACACAATAAGTCGCATGGGGCCCCTTATTGAAAATGTAATGAACGTAAAAAGGCTGAAATATTGCTATGTTCCTTCAGAACGTACTTTAGCATATTCGACAACAGACCAATTAACCAAACGTTTACAAGAAAAAAAAATATATTAAAAATCAACGCGATTCTATAGCACCTTAAAACTTGTACATTATTGCCCTGGAATACTCAAAAAAATCTGAATAAAAAGTTGAAAAATTTTGCAGATTTTTTATAATTTTTGCACAAATTTTGAAATGTGGATTTATATTTTGTTTGGTATATAATGAGCTGGGCTTTTATGGAAAAATAATAAACATTAAATATAGATGTATACAATAAAAGTTTACTAAGAACAATTATTTGTGCATACATTTGAAAAAGACGTTTTTGGGTAGGAAATGACGTTTTTTCAGACCAAGAGGGACGTTTTCTCATGCCGGAGACCTGGCAACACTGCCGTGAATACCTGTGCGATGCGATGTTACTACCGGCTTAGTACATTTCGGAACATAATGCTTAGTTAAAAAAATACTCCTACAATACGGAACATAATGCTTACGATGTATACATGGCAAATGACATTTTGGAAGTCAGTCACCTCACTGGTTAAAATTTGACTGGTCAGAATTGGACATTTGCTTGCATCGAAAATGTCAGCTTTCGACCAGTCCCCAAGGAGTGGCTGACTTCCAAAATGTATGTGTGCAATGCATGTATACTGTTTGACTGCCGTGTGCGTACAACCCCTGCAGTTAAACCCCAAACCAGTTAGAAAAAATACTAGTTCATAAACTAGGATGTGCCTACCACTTCGACATTTTCGAAGAACTTAAGCGTTCAGCGACATCTGCCTTTGAATTGCCAAAGCCTAAAACAAAACCCAATTAATTGCTTTTCTTACAAATGTCGGCTGTGGCGTCACGTGAAGACTACTGGTTCTGGTTCTGGGATCGCAGGTTCGAGGCCGCTTGGAGGTGGTTAAGATTTTTAAGGTTAGATCAATGTCAGTAGGAATAATTATTTCAATTTAAATATAAATAACAAACTTAAAAGTCTGGTTGCATTACCAAAAAAAAAAA